TACGGGCCTCCCATAGCTGCTGCCAGGCCCCTAATCTGCCATGGGCCCCTGTACCGCCTCCTCATGCTGCTGCCAGGTCCACAGTGTCTCATGCCATGTGCCACTTTCAGGTCTCCTCACACTGCTGGTGTGTTCCATTTTTTGTCATAGGGTGCTGGCATGCTGCTGCCAGGTCCAGAGTCTCTCATGGGTCCCTGTACGGCCTCCCATTGCTGCTGTCTCCATCGCCACACTCTGCCATGTGCCACTTTCAGGTCTCCTCACACTGCTGGTGTGTTCCATTTTTTGTCATAGGGTGCTGGCAGATTACGGGCCTCCCATAGCTGCTGCCAGGCCCCTAATCTGCCATGGGCCCCTGTACCGCCTCCTCATGCTGCTGCCAGGTCCAGAGTCTCTCATGGGTCCCTGTACGGCCTCCCATTGCTGCTGTCTCCATCGCCACACTGCCATGCCATGTGCCACTTTCAGGTCTCCTCACACACTGCTGGTGTGTTCAATTTTTTTGACATAGGGTGCTGGCAGATTACGGGCCTCCCATAGCTGCTGCCAGGCCCCTAATCTGCCATGGGCCCCTATACCGCCTCCTCCTCATGCTGCTGCCAGGTCCAGAGTCTCTCATGGGTCCCTGTACGGCCTCCCATTGCTGCTGTCTCCATCGCCACACTCTGCCATGTGCCACTTTCAGGTCTCCTCACACACTGCTGGTGTGTGTTCCATTTTTTGACATAGGGTGCTGGCAGATTACGGGCCTCCCATAGCTGCTGCCAGGCCCCTAATCTGCCATGGGCCCCTATACCGCCTCCTCATGCTGCTGCCAGGTCCAGAGTCTCTCATGGGTCCCTGTACGGCCTCCCATTGCTGCTGTCTCCATCGCCACACTCTGCCATGTGCCACTTTCAGGTCTCCTCACACACTGCTGGTGTGTTCATTTTTTTTGACATAGGGTGCTGGCAGATTACGGGCCTCCCATAGCTGCTGCCAGGCCCCTAATCTGCCATGGGCCCCTATATACCGCCTCCTCATGCTGCTGCCAGGTCCAGAGTGTCTCATGGGTCCCTGTACGGCCTCCCATTCTGCTCTCCATCGCCACACTCTGCCATGTGCCACTTTCAGGTCTCCTCACACACTGCTGGTGTGTTCAATTTTTTGACATAGGGTGCTGGCAGATTACGGGCCTCCCATAGCTAGCTGCTGCCAGGCCCCTAATCTGCCATGGGCCCCCCTATACCGCCTCCTCATGCTGCTGCCAGGTCCAGAGTCTCTCATGGGTCCCTGTACGGCCTCCCATTGCTGCTGTCTCCATCGCCACACTCTGCCATGTGCCACTTTCAGGTCTCCTCACACTGCTGGTGTGTTCCATTTTTTGTCATAGGGTGCTGGCAGATTACGGGCCTCCCATAGCTGCTGCCAGGCCCCTAATCTGCCATGGGCCCCTGTACCGCCTCCTCATGCTGCTGCCAGGTCCAGCCGAAGTAGTCTCACAGGGGAGGAACTTCTCAGTGTAATGAACAGAGAAATCGACAGATGGCTGTCTCCGCGCACACTGAAAATCGGAACCATGTTGACCGACAACGGAAAGAACATGGTGTCTGCTCTGCGTCAAGGAAGGTTGTGCCATGCGCCATGCATGGCTCACGTGTTCAATCTGGTTGTCAAGCGGTTCCTAAATCCACCATCCCACTGCAAGACATCCTTAAAATGTCACGTAAACCTTGCATGCATTTCAGCCATTCCTACACCGCAAAGCACACCCTCCTTGAGCTGCAGCGGCAGAACGGAATTCCCACAGCATCGCCTGATCTGCGACGTTGCAACAAGGTGGAATTCAACCCTACACATGGTAGACCGCCTTTACGAACAGCGAAAGGCCATCACCGATTTCCATGATGTTACAAGCGGATAAAGGTACTCCCCTGTGTAACTTCGATGTCAGCCATTGGCAGCTCATGCGTGACACCTGCCGCTTGCTCAGGCCCTTTGAGGAGGCCACGCTATTTGTGAGTCGGCAGGACTATGGGATGAACGACGTCATTCCTCTGTTGCACGTCCTGGAACAAATGCTGTTAACAATGGCTGGTCAGGGTGCGGTAGACGTGGCGCACAGATCTCAACGCCACATGACCCCTGTGGGGGCAGGACAGGAAGAAGAGGAGGAGGTAGAGGAGGACATTTGTGCTCAGGAATTATTGAGTGAAATGGGTGGTTTTTTTTCCACTCAGCGGACAGGAGTGGAGGAGCAGGAGCATCTGGTAGAGGAGGAGGAGGAGGAGGAGACAGAGGACCCAGACGCACCGTGGCAGTATGCTGTGGAGATGGAGGCAGGGAGTCCCTCGCATTCCTTGGCACAAATGGCCCATAGCATGCTCGGTTGCTTGCGTAGCGACAGCCGAATAATAACCATCAGACAGAGGGATGACTTTTGGCTGTCCACCTTGTTGGACCCTCGCTACCGTTCAAAAATGGTGGCCTTTTTCACACCTGCTGAGAGGGAGGCCAAAATAACGTACTATAAAAACCACCTATGTAGTCAGTTGGTCTCTGCTCTTTGTGCGCCAACGTCCATCCTCAGACACTGTGGGCCCTGTGCGCTCGCGTTCCGCTGCCATGGCAGCAAGGGGGAGGGGTGGGGTGGTAGGAGCAGTGGCAGCTCCACCAGCAGCGGCTGCCTCAGTCTGCAGTCGATGATGAGTAGCTTTTTCTTCACCAGCGCAGTGAGGAAACTACTAACCAGCCGCAGCCGCAGCAGCAGCAGCATCAGGTGGACCTGGAGCAGGACCTCAAACAACAGGCTTGGGCCTACTTGGACAGCACCCTGCCAACCGAGGTAGACAATCCCCTTGACTACTGGGCAACGAAACTTGACCTTTGGCCCCAACTAGCTGAATTTGCCCTTGAAAGGCTGTCATGCCCGGCCAGTAGCGTGGCATCGGAGCGCGTGTTTAGTGCGGCAGGAGGTATTGTAACTCCGCGGGGACACGACTGTCCACCCAAAGTGTTGAGAGACTCACGTTTGTGAAAATGAATCAGGCGTGGATTAGTCTGGATTTCAAACCACCAGTTCCTGACACAACTGACTAAATCCGCCATGAATCATGCCCCTGCCATGTGCCACTTTCAGGTCTCCTCACACTGCTGGTGTGTTCAATTTTTTGTCATAGGGTGCTGGCAGATTACGGGCCTCCCATAGCTGCTGCCAGGCCCCTAATCTGCCATGGGCCCCTGTACCGCCGCCTCCTCCTGCTGCTGCTGCATGGGTCCCTGTAGGCCTCCCATTGCTGCTGTCTCCTCATGCCATGTGCCACTTTCAGGTCTCCTCACACTGCTGGTGTGTTCCATTTTTTGTCATAGGGTGCTGGCAGATTACGGGCCTCCCATAGCTGCTGCCAGGCCCCTAATCTGCCATGGGCCCCTATACCGCCTCCTCATGCTGCTGCCAGGTCCAGAGTCTCTCATGGGTCCCTGTACGGCCTCCCATTGCTGCTGTCTCCATCGCCACACTCTGCCATGTGCCACTTTCAGGTCTCCTCACACACTGCTGGTGTGTTCCATTTTTTGTCATAGGGTGCTGGCAGATTACGGGCCTCCCATTGCTGCTGCCAGGCCCCTAATCTGCCATGGGCCCCTGTACCGCCTCCTCATGCTGCTGCCAGGTCCAGAGTCTCTCATGGGTCCCTGTACGGCCTCCCATGCTGCTGTCTCCATCGCCACACTCTGCCATGTGCCACTTTCAGGTCTCCTCACACACTGCTGGTGTGTTCCATTTTTTGTCATAGGGTGCTGGCAGATTACGGCCTCCCATAGCTGCTGCCAGGCCCCTAATCTGCCATGGGCCCCTGTACCGCCTCCCTCATGCTGCTGCCAGGTCCACAGTGTCTCATGGGTCCCTGTACGGCCTCCCATTGCTGCTGTCTCCATCGCCACACTCTGCCATGTGCCACTTTCAGGTCTCCTCACACTGCTGGTGTGTTCCATTTTTTGTCATAGGGTGCTGGCAGATTACGGGCCCTCCCATAGCTGCTGCCAGGCCCCTAATCTGCCATGGGCCCCTGTACCGCCTCCTGCTGCTGCCAGGTCCTCATGCTCTCATGCCATGTGCCACAGTGTCTCATCATGCCATGTGCCACTTTCAGGTCTCCTCACACTGCTGGTGTGTTCCATTTTTTGTCATAGGGTGCTGGCAGATTACGGGCCTCCCATTGCTGCTGCCAGGCCCCTAATCTGCCATGGGCCCCTGTACCGCCTCCTCATGCTGCTGCTGCCAGGTCCACAGTGTCTCATGGGTCCCTGTACGGCCCTCCCATTGCTGCTGTCTCCATCGCCACACTCTGCCATGTGCCACTTTCATGTCTCCTCACACTGCTGGTGTGTTCCATTTTTTGTCATAGGGTGCTGGCAGATTACGGGCCTCCCATTGCTGCTGCCAGGCCCGTAATCTGCCATGGGCCCCTGTACCGCCTCTTCATGCTGCTGCCAGGTCCAGAGTGTGTCATGGGTCCCTGTACGGCCTCCCATTGCTGCTGCCAGGAGGCAGCAGGGTCGCAGCAGTGTCAGTGGAGGCAAACGGCCACGGAGTAGAGCACCAGCTCCACTGCAGCCTACCACCACTGCCAGTAGTGGTGCCGGTGTGCACGGAGGAAGTAGCAGTCAGCCAGTGAGGAGTAGCGGGGGCAAAGTTTCCTACTCGGCGGTGTGGCAATTTTTCGTCAAGCCGCCCGAGGAAATAAACGTAGCCGTATGTCGACTATGTGGCCAGAAAGTCAAGCGTGGCCAGGGGGCCCATGTTGGGACTACAGCGTTGCGTCAGCATATGCAGCGTCGCCATTCGGTGGCCTGGGAAAACCGTGATAAAGATACGGCGGTTCTGCCTGCCTGCCCCAGCCCAGGGTTCCATTTTGTCATAGGGTGCTGGCAGATTACGGGCCTCCCATTGCTGCTGCCAGGCCTTAATCTGCCATGGGCCCCTGTACCGCCTCCTCATGCTGCTGCCAGGTCCACAGTGTCTCATGGGTCCCTGAACCGCCTCCCATTGCTGCTGTCTCCATCGCCACACTCTGCCATGTGCCACTTTCAGGTCTCCTCACACACACTGCTGGTGTGTTCCATTTTTTGTCATAGGGTGCTGGCAGATTACGGGCCTCCCATTGCTGCTGCCAGGCCCGTAATCTGCCATGGGCCCCAGTACCGCCTCCTCATGCTGCTGCCAGGTCCAGAGTCTCTCATGGGTCCCTGTACGGCCTCCCATTGCTGCTGTCTCCATCGCCACACTCTGCCATGTGCCACTTTCAGGTCTCCTCACACTGCTGGTGTGTTCCATTTTTTTGTCATAGGGTGCTGGCAGATTTACGGGCCTCCCATAGCTGCTGCCAGGCCCCTAATCTGCCATGGGCCCCTGTACCGCCTCCTCATGCTGCTGCCAGGTCCACAGTGTCTCATGGGTCCCTGTACGGCCTCCCATTGCTGCTGTCTCCATCGCCACACTCTGCCATGTGCCACTTTCAGGTCTCCTCACACACTGCTGGTGTGTTCCATTTTTTGTCATAGGGTGCTGGCAGATTACGGGCCTCCATAGCTGCTGCCAGGCCCCTAATCTGCCATGGGCCCCAGTACCGCCCCGCCTCCTCATGCTGCTGCCAGGTCCACAGTCTCTCATGGGTCCCTGTACGGCCTCCCATTGCTGCTGTCTCCATCGCCACACTCTGCCATGTGCCACTTTCAGGTCTCCTCACACTGATGGTGTGTTCCATTTTTTGTCATAGGGTGCTGGCAGATTACGGGCCTCCCATAGCTGCTGCCAGGCCCCTTATCTGCCATGGGCCCCTGTACCGCCTCCTCATGCTGCTGCCAGGTCCAGAGTCTCTCATGGGTCCCTGTACGGCCTCCCATTGCTGCTGTCTCCATTGCCACACTCTGCCATTTGCCACTTTCAGGTCTCCTCACACACTGCTGGTGTGTTCCATTTTTTGTCATAGGGTGCTGGCAGATTACGGGCCTCCCATTGCTGCTGCCAGGCCCGTAATCTGCCATGGGCCCCCGTACCGACTCCTCATGCTGCTGCTGCCAGGCCCGTAATCTGTCATGGGCCCCTGTTGTCGCTTGTTGGCATATTCCGCTCGTTCAGATGCTCCTTCTCCTGCTACTCCTCTTCACGGATTCCGTCAGCAGTCTTTCTTGGAATCCGTTTCCAAGAGACAACAGTTTGCGAGCACGCACCCGACGGTGCAGAAGCTGAATGTCCTCCTGTCCAAGTTGCTGCTGCCAGGCTCGTAATCTGTCATGCGCCCCTGTGTACCGCCTCCTCATGCTGCTGCCAGGTCCAGAGTGTGTCATGGGTCCCTGTACGGCCTCCCATTGCTGCTGCCAGGCCCGTAATCTGCCATGGGCCCCCGTACCAACTCCTCATGCTGCTGCCAGGCCCGTAATCTGTCATGGGCCCCTGTACCGCCTCCTCATGCTGCTGCCAGGTCCAGAGTCTCTCATGGGTCCCTGTACGGCCTCCCATTGCTGCTGTCTCCATCGCCACACTCTGCCATGTGCCACTTTCAGGTCTCCTCACACTGCTGGTGGTTTCCATTTTTTGTGATAGGGTGCTGTATGGCCTCCCATTGCTGCTGCCTCCACCGCCACACTGTGGGTTCCACACTCTGGTTTTGGCCCCGTGACTGCCCAAATGAGTGAAGTGTGCGGTGATTCTAAGATCGACGGCACTCATCTGCATGTCATACTGACTGTCAGTATTATTTCTCTTCCCCAGCAGACTCCAAGGGCATTTAAATTAAAGGTACAGTGTTCTGCACTAATATAAAGGCTCTCTGAAGCCTAGAAACACCCTTTTATAAGTTAAATTCGCAGCGAATATATTCGACTCGAATCGAAATTTTTCCACGAATTCGCCGAATCAGTCGAATCGAATTTTTGAATACTTCGCTCATCTCTACTCTGCATGTCAGTTCAGCACAGTGGTGATGCCGATCTCCACTCTGGGATCAATCAGCATCTCTACATCAGGCCAGTCATCTCTGCTTGCTGCACAGACAGGCTATCAGTCGGTAACTCTGCACTTCTCTGCAAAAAGCCAAAAAGCCTGTGCAAGAATCCTGTTCCTAGGAGGCGGTGCCATCCATGAGATTGGTGAATGGGCAGACCTCTTTCTGATAATACTCTAGACACACTGCATGCAGACACCTTTTCACCTCAGTACCAAGAGATCTTTCAGCAATTACCACAGCCCGTGGCATCTTCATTGAATTACTATTACTCACTACTGTAAATGGACCCCACCATTGCTAGCAAAAGACAACAGCTACTATCACATAAGGAACTTTAACCACTAGCCTACAGGGCACTTATACCCCCTTCCTGCCCAGGACAATTTCCAGCTTTCAGCTTGTCACATTTTGAGATAAATGTAATCTGTGAGCGCTTCAGATGATAGCAGCTATAGCACGCAAGGCAACCAAAAAATAAACCTCATAAATATATACCGGTATATAGAAAGTGCAGCGCTAAAAATATATATATATATACTCAAATAAAATATGTTATTTTCAGTGTGCTCTCCAAATCATATGGATAAAAGAAGTAACACAATAAAATATTAAAATAATAAATAAATAAATAGTGACAGCTCGTGATGAGTGAACTATTCAGGAGTTCCTAGTGACTTTCCGATCCTGTGGTCTGGTGACAAATAGTGAAAATGCGCACTCACCAGATGTGTATTTTCAATACGCCTGTAATACATAAACCAGAGGTCCCCCTCATGGGATGGGATGGATGAGCTGAACCGTCTTAGCGGACTCTCCTTCCTCTAGGTGTAGAGCAGCCAAACCATTGTCTCCCTCTAGGAAATGGGCAGGGTACTGGGCAGCCTACATGAGGGCGTGCATCATCCTTAGGGTGGTATCATGTGTCACAGACTTCGGATGCTTGGGCTCAATGTGCAGGCCCCTTTAACGCGTTATGTACGATAGCACTTCATCAGAAAGGCATGGCCATCACGCCAGTGCCATGCGTCATGTATTTCATATGAAATCCTCCCAGAACGAGAGAACCACCTTGCGTCCGTCATTGTACTATATGACGGGCAGGAGGCGGTTAAATATCTCAGGACTCAAGTTGCTATTTCTAGTTAAAGGAACCTCTTCCCATCAAAGCCATTGTTATTCAAATTAGGGTGTCTATACCCATTTAGTGCATATATACAGTATATTTCCAAAAGTATTGGGACGCCTATCTTTACACACACATGAACTTTAATGGCATCTCAGTCTTAGTTCATAGAATTCAATATTGAGTTGGCCCACCCTTTGCAGCTATGTTTCAGCTCTTCTGGGAAGGCTGTCCACAAGGTTTAGGAGTGTGTCTATGGGAGTGATTGACCATTCTTCCCGAAGCACATTTGTGAGGTCAGGCACAGATGTCGGACGAAAAGGCCTGGCTTGCAATCTCTGCTCTAATTCATCCTCACTGTGTTCATTCATAACTGAAACATAGTAAACTGTGTTGGTTTTTTTGGGGGAGGGAGGGGGCTGTCAAGTTGGCTGTGAGAGGCCCCATGGTTTCTAACAGCAGCCCTGGCTGGGTTTTATCATCACTTTCAAATGGACAATAGGCAAGCAGAGAAGATTTTTTTGGTAGAGTAAAGAAAGGTTAGACACTGGCACTCTTCTATCAAATATTGAACTGGGTCATGGAAATACTTTACATTTTGACTCTTCCCTATGTTGTCCATAAAATGGCTGGAGATAGGCTTTAATACATTACTAAGTAAGTTACATATTACAGTTGTTTCCACTAAACACTACAAGTTCCTCAGATCAGTTACGAATATGTTTTCTTTTATTTCATTTATGATAGTCCTATTGACAGTTTATAAAGAAATATATACAATGTCAAAAGTATTGGCCTGGAGTACTGAAAATTTTTAGCCAAACCAAAATGAAACAGTTGCATTACAGTGCATTACAATCCACTTGCTA